AGGTATAGGATAGTTTGTTTTATTGTTCAGGTGACTCATGATTATGTAGTTGTTGGGAGATTCGTTGTTTAGTCATCTTGAGGTTGTTAAGTGTAATGATTGCTGAATGGTGCAGTTAGTGGTCGCTTGTACTGATATGTGACGGTGTAGTTATGCCTTAGATAGCTAGTGCCTTGTCTATCAGAGTTGTATAGTTCTGAGTTTGAGATTGATTGTGAGACGGGCGGGAATTCTTTGTCTAGGGTTTGGTGTATCCTTTAAGGGATAAAATGGGATTGGTGTTTTCAGTTCTACGAAGACTGTTGGATCTGAATTTCAGGGACGAAATTCTTTTTAAATGGTGGAGATTGTGATAATCCTGATTTTTTTTTTTTAGAGTTTAATTTATATTTATTTCTATCATTTTTAATTGTCAAGATTAATTATAAATGATGTTGGGTCTTGATTTGTTGAATTTGAAAATCTTTATTTTATTGTACTGATGGTGGTTGATTTGGTTTTGTTTGATTTGTATATGAGTTATATGTATGTATTTTGTGTCTTAAGGAAAGGGAACAGATGGCAGCCAAATGAGGAAAGTAAAGTAATGAAAAGTGATAGATGGAATGAAAAGAGAAAAGTGAGAAATGTGGCAACAAGGTGCCGAAATAAGAGAAGAAAATGGTGATGGTGATATTCGCGGGGCCCACAAAGAGTGATTTAATAGGATTGAATTGATTTTTGTTATATATATATATATATATATATATATATTGTATCTGCTGAAGCAAAAAGGGGCTGCCAGCCGATTTGAGCGAGAGAAAGGGGTTTTATAATATGATAGTGGTGGGACCCACAACTAGGATTTGTTTGGTTAAGAATTCATTTGGGTTTGGCTGTTCACGTGGTCTTGCTTTTTATTTGTGGCTGATGTAGTTGCTAGGTAAGATGTATGGAAAGTAAACATGAGATAGAGAAAAGAGAAAAAAATTTAGAGTGAGGAAAGATACAGAGTGAGGAAGAACGCATATACACAAAGGGCCGAGAGTTGAGAAACAGAGAGAGGAACTGAGTTTTTAGAGGGTGGTCTGAGAGGTTGTAGAGGAGGTCAGGAGCTTGGAGACTTGATGAAAATTTCTTTTTCAGTATGGGGTTTTCTTCAATACTTGAGGTAGGGATGCTCTAATTCATGTATTCTTTGCCCTCAGTGAATTTTTCCTCATTAATTTGATACTAGCATGTTTAATTGGTGTAGAACCTTTGTGATGTGATACAAATGTTGTATATGAAATTTTATTGTGTAAAATAAGTATGCCATGTGCTAATTGCGATTTTGTGATGAGGTGTATTTAAATGACAAAATTTGTGTATGTATATGTTGGATTTATTGTATGAGTGCATGTTGGCTATTTCTAAAATTCCTATTAAAGCATGTTATGTTGTTGTAGTTGATTACGCATGATGGAAGGTTATGAATTGTCTTGATTGGTTATAGCATGTAACACTTATACACCTCATTGGGAAAGAAAGGGATGTTTGTTATAAAAAGTAACGAAATTGATTTTTGGAAAATTATTATTATTATTATTATTATTATTATCTTTTTAAAAAAATGGAATTATTTTGCGGAAACGTTTTCGAAAGTGTTTGTGAAAACCCGGATGCCTAGGAAGCGCCTAGTGGTCCGTGGTGTTAGTGTAGTCTAAAGGGGACTAAAGATTGAGCTAACTAGGCCGGATGCGACGCCTTGGAGGTGCCTTGTGGTCGTAGATAGTTAGCCAATTCTCCCTCGTGACGCCTTGGAGGTACCTTGGGTCGGATTGCACTAACGGTTTGGAAGTTGAAACGGTATTATTTCAGAAAAAGGGGTTGACATTGCATGGCATGGCATTGCATTGGCATACATTGTATATTTGGTGGTTAGACGACTTGCGTGTGTATTTGTTGATATCATTGTTGTTTTACTTGCTTTACCCGAAGCATTATCCCATTTACTTGTATTCTATTCCTTGTATGGATTCACGGGGTCGTAAGAAGTGTGTCTTAGACACTTCTTACTGAGCGGTTGGCTCACCCCATTTTATTATTAACATTTTTCAGGATACGGGAAGGAAGTGGCGTACGACGCTCCTCCACAGGTCTTAATGGGTTAGTGGACTGTTTTGACATACCTTGTAATTATGATCTCATTTAATTATTATTATTATTACTTTTTTATTATTATTATAAACCCTAGAATGACACATATAATATGTACTGACATAGGAAAGGATGGTAGTGTCCTTAGTTGACCTCGGGTTTCTGGTAGACCCGGTTAGCGATTTGGACCCACGGGTTCGGGTCGTTACAGAGGCAGCTAGGGATTCTAAAGAAACAGAGAGATGAAGAGAATGAGATTATGTTAACAGATCCAAATTCGACACCAACAGAAGCGGGGAAAGCTTGGATTATTGCACGACAAAATGAGATATTGACATCTTTGCATTCACGGTCCGCCCCAAAGTTCCCATAGGATTTTGTAATCCTTGGTCAATTTATTTTCTTATTCCAATTTAGGATATTGTATTGTTTAAGTTATTTTTAATTGTTTTGTTTAATTTATTATTATTATTTTTTAATCCATAATGGATAATGTATTGTTTCAAGTTATAATATCAATCCTAGTTTTTTTTAATAATTTGCAAAAGTATTGATTGAAAAATATATTGCCGTTGAGAAAATATAGTATGCGGTTAAAAAAATAGCCGTTAGGAAAATTTTAAAAAATAATAATAATTTTATATATATTTTTTTTGAAGAACGAAAATTTGGAGAGCCTGATGGAGTGCATGTTTCTGGAGAGTGAAAGCTGCTAACGTGGCTCTTGGAAAAGGTGAAATGGCATTTTTTGAGAGCCAAAATTCAAAGAGGCTGGTGCAGATGGCCTAATAGTATAGCAACGAGTCCTCTTGATACAACATTGGAAATTCGAAAGTTCCACGGCATCCTACTACATTTATGTGAATGGGATTATGTCGTCATGACTTGAACCCTAGTAACAAGAAATAGTCGAATGGATCCAACTTTCGCAAAAAGTTTAAATGGTTTTGGGACCATTGGTTCCGAGCAAAAAGTTGAATAAAGATTACACATTTCCAACACAATTGCTTACGTGTCCAAAGGTGATTGGCTCAAGACCATGTAATAGCTTCTCCCAACTTTCGGACGTTATGTCATTTTTGCAATGAATAATATATTTATGGGAGGGAGTGTTTGCTACATTTTGCAAAATTAGGGTCTGACATAGCATATTTTAAAAAGTACGTAAGATGTTTATAAGTTATCACCAAGCAGAACATCCTCTGAGGACAACTGCAGAAGCACTAAAACTTTCCAAATCACATTCAAAGCTGCAGCACTAAGGTTGATCTTTGTAGTTTAGATGCATAGCAGCATTACTCTCTTTTCATATCCTCCAAATAGTGGTAGAAAAAATGCAATACAAGATAGAACCCTTAAGATTCCTCTGAGTAATAGCCTTTTGAAACCAATCCACCAGACTATTCACAATCTGAACTTTTCTTCATTTGTGTGAAAATGAGAGTTGACAGAGAGGCTGGAAGGGGTTTTAAGAAGTGTGTGAGTCCAAAAACTTTACAAAATACTCTATCTATACATACGAGAGAGGAGGAAACGAAAAGATTGTTAGATACCTGGGTAGTTATGGTATTTGAAAAAACAAAAAATTATCATTTTACTTATGAAGTTAGAAATTAGGGTTAGAAATGTTATTTACTTTAAGAATGGAGTGTAATATTTGAAAGAGTAGTGTAAATATCATTTCCCTTTACAAAATACTCTATGTATACATATATGTGTATATATATACACGTGTGTGTGTGTGTGTGGGGGGGGGGGGGGGGGGGGGGTGGGGTGTGGGGAAGGTGGAGATACCTTGTCTTCTTCACCTGGAGAGAGATACCTCGTCTTCTTCATCTTTCGTTGACTTCAACCACCGATTTCTGAATTTCAGCTTTTGCGCAAGGAATGGCTAGCTAAGACACTCTTCAATTACTTGGTCTAACCAACCATGCCCTTATTTCAAGCCCAAACTTAATCATATGTGATATTTGATTTGAAAATGTCTAATAAATTTCAAACAATTGTTGGGAAGAAATTTTAGTTAAATGGTCTTTACTCATACAAGTTAGTAAGCAAATTCAGTTACCAAAAGCTATGGATATGCTTGGTTTGTAATTATAGTAATAGTTTTCTGCCATTTAAAATAGAAAATTATACAAAAAAAAAAACTCTGCTTGATTCAGTATTCTGAAAACTCAGATATAAAAAGGTCTGTTTTGAGAGAACTGTTTTTATTGTTATCTGAATTTTTTTTTATGTTTTCCAAATTCTTAAAAACTATTTTCAAAATTACAAACCAAACAAGCCCTATTAATTAGTGTAATGGTCCAAAAATTCAGTTACCAAAAGTTAGGAAGCAAATTCAGTTACCAAAAGTTATTGATTGGGTCGCACATTTTATCATGAGCATGTGACTAAATGTGTGTCAGTCGTGTAAGGTTGGAAGGTTAAGAGGCATCAAAGAAACGAAATGAACTAGTCATACGTTAATTTTGGTAACTCAAGCAGTGGATAGAAGAAACATATGTGAACTGGCTTCCTTAAAACCAGACATAAACTTTGGGCTCACATGTGAAAGTGGCCAAATTCTATTGAACGGCTTACTTTATACTAAAATTTGGGCTTACTCTGAGCATGACTGAATGCATATTAGCCTCTTGGAACACCTTATAGTTCATTACCAGACACATACAGTTTCTTTTATTGCTGATGCACCCGGCAATTTTCTGAACTTTTATTTCTCGTGCACCAGGCAATTTTTTCCAATAATTCATTATCAGGTACACGCAATCCCTTCCTTCCCTTGTGCACCGGGCAACTTTGAAATTTTTTCATGAGAGTGACCTAAGGGATTCAAATTACCAACCTCCAAATGTTCAAATAAGGACGTTTTCATTTGAAAAAAAAAAAAAAAAGGAGGAGTTAAAATGCCCTTACACAATATAATAAAATAATAGTAAAAAATAAATAAACAAATAACCTGCCGTGAAATGACGGTTTGGGACTCGTACCAATTCCCTTTCCTTCACTCTACATTCAAAATAGCAATATCAGTTTGCAGAATCAGAAAATACTCTATATATGGAGATATATCCACACAAGTAGCAATACCAGTAGCTCAGCTGAGTTAGATGCTTATTATTACATTTAATTGAACAACAACTATAACAAATACATATCATATATGTGTATGTGCATAAATATTGTCCATTGCTGAAGTGCATTGTTCTATATATTGAGAAACTTTAGTCCAATTTGCTGTGACATGCCATTCTCAAGGGAACTGGTGGATCTGAGAATTCTCCAGTGGAAATTTTATCAAAGACAAACTTAGCTGCTGCCTCAGTGTAGTGAACTCCATCCCAGTTTACTCGAACCGAGGGGCGTTCACACGAACCGATGAATATTTGGCTGCCATTAACAGTGACAGTATCTCCACAAACTCCCACACTACTAAAGTTGTACTTCCCTCCATAGCCGCAGCAAGCAACAAGTGGATGCTCAAACCCTACAGTTATAAACAGTACATAGAAGACACATTCACATTTATGTCTATATTTTTAAAACTATGTTTAACCTGGAGTTTTCATTGTATGGCATACCATATTTGTGTGGTTCAGTATAGAGGGAGTACTTGACAGAGTACACATCAACATATGTGATTGGAGCTAGAGGAAGGTCCTTTCTGAGTTGCACAATGGCCTCCTTCAACATGTAGTTAAAGTACTGAGCTACCTCATTGTAAGCCCTCGCGCAGCCAGCACTGTCCATTTGAGCTGCTGGAAAAGTTGCCAAGATATAGGGAAGGCAGCCAATCGGTCCGGTGTTGTGGATCCAGAACATTCTAGCTCCCAACTTGTATATATTCTACATCATATCACAATGTCAGAGTTATAGCAATTTTTTTCTCCTCAAGATATCAAATGTAACTATCATTAGAAAGAAGAACTACATATATGGTATATGCAGCCCTTTTGTGATGAAGATTATACCTTGATGTTAGTAGAGAACCTGTTGACTATATCTGGGACAGAAGCATTCACTTCCTCTATGGACATGTTACCAAAGAAACCTTGAGCAAGATCATTTTGACCAATATCAAATGTATACAAGGCTTTTGGAAAATCTTCCAACTCGGGCATTAGATTCTTGTATATCCCTCCTACAAGAGTGTTATATATATATTCAAAAAGTTCGAGCAAACGCACACACCCACAATATTGCACCCAGCAGGGCTTGAACACTCAACTGCAACAGCCCATTGATGAACATAGTAGATATTGAAATAAAATGGCATTGCGCGATAATATCATTTACCTGTTTTCTTGATAATTTGTGATCTGTATATGAATTGTGTAAACTGCCAATACTGTGCATCCAAGTAGAAGGGGCTGAATTCGCCCACCGGAATAATGGACCTTGGTGGTGTGGTGGTTGATGCTGAAGTGGCGAAATTTGCACCATTGGTGAAGTTGGTCCCCAAAGAATTGAGATAAGCACTGAGAAATGGGAGTCCAAAACTTGTAGCTGCAGTGGGACAATTTGATGATAAGGTCAACAAAATGGAAGAAAATGACAATTTGCTACAAAAAAATGCCTCATTTAAAATGACAATTTGCTTGCATTGGGAATACAAAATACTTTCTGTGGCTCTGTTGTTCATTAATCTATTTCGGTTGAATCATGACTGGGATAGCTTTTCTGACCATTCCCTGTATTGCCATATGCATTTAAACATGCTATGCCCCAAGTGAAATGCTATGAAAAGTCTGTCATGTGCAGCTTGGGGACTATAATGAGGTCGGGGGTGTTCAAATAATTCGTAAATCCGTTAAATCGAATCGATTCGATCCGATTTGTGTGGTTCGGTTTGGTCTTCTAGTATTGTCGTTCGATGATGGATTAAAAAATTAGTAATCCGTAGTGACCGGATCGGTTAAAGGATTAAGTGCTGAAAAAACCGAACCGATCCGTAAACTGGTCCGTGGCCAATCCGTTGAACTAATATACATATATTATATAACAAAAATAGTATACAGTATATGCATAATACACTATTGATGTTTTTGTTTTCTTTAATCATTAAATTTTCAAATATTTTATTGTTTTACGAACCCAAGATGCTTTATTGCTTACACTTTTTAGTTTTTATATTCCTTTCATTTGCATGCGTCTCTGGCCTCTCATCTGATCCCACAAACCCACTGCTCAGGTCACAGTCTCTTATGGAACCCAGACAAGTAAGCATCTCTAATTTGCATGGGCCGATCATTTCCTCTTCATCTACATCTAATTTTCAGTGAGTTCATAAGTTTTTCATTATTTTCTTCTATGAATTTTTGTTCTTCTCTTCTTGAAAAAATCTGGATTGCTCCATCTCGTCATTTAGTTTTAGTTCTACCTTGTCATTTTCATAGCCCATTTATCAATATGTATAGTCTTTAGAAATTCATGCATGACTGAGACGAAAATCAGTATTTCGAAACAGAGTTAACAATAACAAATTCTCTTTTTCTCTTTAAATTAAAGCATGACTCAGACGAAAATAGTATTTTGCCTCTAATTTCAGTTTTCTTAGTTGTGTTCTGTCAAGCCCAATCTATGTGAACCGAACCGAAACAATCCGTTATTTCACGGATTGGTTTGGTTCGGATTGAGAGTCCCCACGGATCGGCTCGGTTTCAGATTTAATCAATCCCTCATGATAGAATTGGTTTGAATTTTACTCAAAACCGAACCGAACCGATCCGATCCATGACAAGCCCTAAATGAGTAGGTCATAATGGGGAACACATACGATTCACTGAGAACTGAAAGTCCCCATGTGAAAAATGGAAAGACAGTAGTAGCATTTCTAAAACGTGTGAACCTTTTAGAGTTTAATATGTGATATGAGCAATGCTTTGAGTCGGCATAAGTCAATTCTTTTGCAATGGGGTAACGAAGCTCACCACAAATAGTGGGGTTCACCGTCCACCATCCCTTTGTGAAAGATTGCCGAAGAATCATTTTTCAATAGTTTTATATAGAGAATTATGTTTCTTCTAAAGGAATCTAAATGACACCACAAAATCATATCCCTTCGAGACATGGTTATTACTAATAAAATCGCAATTTCACATCACTTTGCATTTCTTATACAGAGAATTGATCATCTATGTTCCACGTGGCATCATAATGCTTCAAACCTTTGAAATGATTTTCCCAACATGTCTCAAGACTCTTGGCCATGTCCTCCTTGTTCTTTTCACTTAATGAATACAGGTGTTTGATATTTTTCACCTTATGTCAAAAGGAGTGTCCATGCAGTTCCATGGACCTACCACTGAAATGAATATCCCTATCTTAATCATGCTAGCCTTTTGCACCACTACAAAACATTGTAATGACAGAAATGTAGGCCTAAAGTTGACCAAAAGGTGATACTGATAGATACATACCGATGAAATCGATGATGAGACGTCCATCTGAGAACCTCCCTGCTGGCATGTGAAAGAAGGTTTCTCCATAAGGTGGGTTGGTCCAATTGAAGGCTGCAGCAAGTCCACCAGTGTCTGAATTCGAGTCGCCAAAGTTAAAAATCGCCGGAAAATCACAACTTTGCATAGCAGAAACAGGGTTCAGGACAGTGGCATAGCACAGAAGAAACATGCAAAAACAAGAGAGAGGAGAGACAGACATGGTCATTGTTGGACAATCCATGTTGTGTTGGGAATCTAGAGATGAAAAGTTCGGTTTATGTAGTGTCTGAAAGTAGACTTTTCAATCACTTGTCAGAATAAACTTCTCATTTTTATCCACGTCATGGTATTTTTTTTCAAGCACAATCTTGATATCTAATGACATGTGATCTTTTGCATCCTTCATAAGAATGTCTCCTCGAAGACAAAAAATTGATTTATATTTCGGAAAGATGGACTTTTCAATTACGTGACTATAAGAAATTATGTAGTTTATCCAAGCATGGCTTTATTTCAAACCCAAACTTAATCTTATGTGATCTTTGATTTGATAGATGTGATGATAACTAAATTTAAAAAAACTGTTAGGGAATAAATTTTAGTTGAAGGGTCTTTTTCTCATACAATGTCATATACTTGAACTTTCAAGAAAGTTGTGTTAGGAAGCATATCCAGTTATCAAAACTTATTGATTGGTGCAGTGGTCAAATTATCAAGTTCTTGAAAAAAAAAATAAAAAAATAAAAAATAAAAATAAAAATTATCAAGTTCCAAGAAATGCGGGATTCATGTTTGACTATAAATAATGTTCAAGTACAATAATAATTGAACAAAAAAAAAAGTAAACTGTTTTGAACATGGAAGAAATGTAATCAATAAGTATATTCTATGTGGGTTGCGCATGATAAATAAAAATTAAAGATTTTTAGACTAAACAGAATGACTGAATGCAAGTTACAGATTAAAACCTTCCATAAACTGGGTGTTTATAGCAACAGTCAATAGTTTCATACATTGAACATAAAGACACAATCACAGATTTGAAGAATTGCATATAAAGTCTAACATATTTGATAATAGTAATGGCAGGAGACAAAATAGACTAATTTTGTATGAATAGATGTTAATGTCATCGTAAAGTCAGCACAAGCTTCTACTCACATAAATCAGTCAGAGTTGGCCGACTTTGGACTCCAAAACATAATTCATTTTATAAAGAGTAGAGCGGACTCCAAATCATTATTCATTTTATAGAGAGTAGAGTGCACTGTATTGTAATTTGTAATTAGTTAAAAATAAAAAATAAAATAAGTGGTTGGGTTGCTCCCAGAGCCATCCTCAGCATTTTCTCTAACTACTAACCCCTAAAAAATAAAAAAAAATAAAAAATTTATTAATAATAATGATAAATAAAGAAATAAAAACTGATTTTCATTCAAAAAGACTAAAATGACCGATTGGGAGATAGGACGTGTCCCAAAGGACTTCGTACTCTTTTCCTCCGTCGACATTCAAAGCAGCCATATCAGTTGCAGATTCACAAAATATTCTATATATACACGTGTGTGTGTGTGTGTGTGTGTTTTTGTGTGGAGAGAAATACCTCCTCTTCTATATATACACGTGTGTGTGTGTTTTACGCAATATACATATATGTTTGAGTGGGTGCAGAAGATTGCACAATATTGATTGATTCTGAGATCGTCGAATATTCCGATGATCGTCCGTTGAATAAGCAGTCCTTGGGGTTAGAGTTAAGACTTCAAGGTACCCACAAATTTGCCTGGTTTGTTAGCTGTTTTTCTCAATTTGTAGAATGATTGAATCCAACCAATAAATAAATATATATATATATATATATATATGGGGTAAATTTAACTTACCTCCCCTGAAGTTTGTCAATATCTCACATACATCTCTTTATGTTTCATAATCTCACTTATTTCTCCGTTAATGACTTTTTTTTACCATTTTGCCTATGGCATTAGAAGGACAAGGCAGAAGAATTTGTTACATAAACCAGAATTTCAAGATAAGTAAGTGAAATTATTAAATATAAAAAATATATATGTGAGATATTGAGAAACTCATAAAGAAAAGTAGAATTTATCTATATGTTCATCTTTTGAAAGAGAGGGTTAAAGGTAACTAATAGTATAACAATGAGTCCTCGTGATACAACATTGGAAATTAGGAAGTTCCACGGCATCCTACTACATTTATGTGAATAGAATTATGTCATCACGACTTCAACCCTGGTCACAGGAAATAGTCGGATGGATCCAACTTTCGCAGATGATTTCGGGACCATTGGTCCCGAACAAAAAGTTAAATAAAGATTACGCATTTCTAACACAATTGCTTACGTGTCCAATGGTAATTGGCTCGAAACCATGTAATAACTTTTCCCAACTTTCAAACACGATGTCATTTTTGCAATGAATAACATATTTATGGGAGGGAGTGTTTGCTACCTTTTTGCAAAATTAGGGTCTCGACATACCATATTTTAAAAAGTAACATGTTTATAATCACCAAGCAGAACATCCTCTGAGCACAAGGTTGATCCTTGTAGTTTAGATGCATAGCAGCATCACTCTCTTTTCATATCCTCCAAATAGTGGTAGAAAAAATTGCAAGACAAGATAGAACTCCTAAGATTCCTCTGAGTAGAAACCAATCCAACAGATCATTCACAATCTGAACTAGGGGCAAAGGAATAGAAAGGTACTCAAAAAAAACTTCCTCCAAATCTCTTGGGCATAACAACACTCAACACTCACAAAAAAGTTTTAAGTCATTGCTGTCTTCACTAGCAAAACAACAATGGCTTATAGAAATAAGACATATACTTATTCTGAAGGATCAAACAAACTGTTATAGACACTCTATGCCGGTCCAACTTCTCCCCTTGCAGTCTATACGCATTCCAAACTGACTTCAGAGAGAATTCTCCATGCTTCCAAATCACCTGATCCTGCTCCTCACAGATATGAAATTGGTAAAATAGAGGTGATCATGTTGTTTGAAAACGAGTCTAGCTAGGCACTGCCATCTACCATTGAAATTGATGGATGAAACAAAAGCAGACATATATTTTTTAAGAATACTGATAATTAGTCCAAAAGCCAGGGCTGACCCTGGGCATAGGAGACCCAGGCGGTCGCCTGGGGCCTCCAATTTGGAAAGGTGTCAAACTATATGAAGAAGAAATCATGTAACGAAGGGGATTCTTATTTGTACACTTTTAAGGGCCGATCCTGGGCAATAGGCTAGATGTTTACTTCAAATGCTGAGTCAAATAATGTAATTGAACAGGTTCTTAAATCATTCTTTGCTGAGAAACTAATCTGGGAAGAGTCAAGATTTATAAGCTGATGATGTATTGGCAAATAAAGTTTATGTAAGTGCAATATACAGAATCCCTATTTGACAAGAAGCAGGCTGGTTTGGTTCTTTAGTAGTAGTACACGGAACTCGAAGAAAACAGAGTTAAATGCTAAGTATAGCATTTATTGAACAGCTACAACAACATATCATATTGGTGTATATGTATATATATATTGTCCATTGCTGAATAAATGCTTGTACCATATGTTGAGAAACTTTAGTCCAATTTGCTGTGACATGCCATGCTCAAGGGAATTGGTGGATCTGAGAATTCTCCAGGGGAAATTCTATCAAACACAAACTTGTTAGCTGCCTCAGTGTAGTGAAATCCATCCCAATTTACCCGAGCCGAGGGGCGTTCACACGAACCAATGAATATTTTGCTGCCATTAACACTGACAGTATCTCCACAATTTCCCACACTACTAAAGTTATACTTCCCTCCATAGCCACAGCAAGCGACATGCAGATGCTCAAACCCTGCAGATTATGAAAACTAACACAAATGAAACATTGTATAATGTTTGTTGTTATGTTGATGCATTGTAAAACTATGTTTAACATGAGTTTTTGTTGTATGGCATACCATATTTTTGTGGCTCGGTATAGAGGGAGTACTTGACAGAGTACACATCTACGTATGTGATTGCAGCTAGAGGAAGGTCCTTCCTGAGTTGAACAATGGCCATCTTCAACCTGTAGTTAAAGTACTGAGCTACCTCATTGTAAGGCCTCGCGCAGCCGGCACTGTCTATTTGAGCTGCCGGAAAAGTTGCCAAGATATAGGGAAGGCAGCCAATCGGTCCGGTGTTGTGGATCCAAAATGATCTAGCTCCCAACTTGTATATGTTCTACACCATCACAATGTCATAGTTATAATTCTTTCAATACAACATTTTTAGTCATGTCCATTTTTTTTTTTTTTTCCCTTCTCTCTTCTGTGGTGAAGATTATTATACCTTAATATTAGTAGAGAACCTGTTGACTATTTCTGGAACAGAGGCATTCACTTCTTCCATGGACATGTTACTCGAGAAACCATGATCAAGATCATTCTGACCAATATCAAATGTGTACAAGGCTTTTTGAAAATATTCTTCCTCGGGCATTAAATTCTTGTATATGGCTCCTACAAGGGTGATTGAATTCCGATGAAAGAATGGGTAGAATTTAAAGAGAGAATATAGCGGATATTGAAATGAAATGGATTATCGTTGCACGATAATATTATTTACCAGTTTTCTTGATAATTTGTGATCTATATATGAATTGTGCGAACTGCCAGTACTGTGCATCTAAGTAGAAGGGACTATATCGGCCCACCGGAATAACAGAATGAGGTGGTGCGGTGGTTGATGCTCCGGTGGCGAAATTTGCACCATTGGTGAAGTTTGTCCCCAAAGAATTGAGATAAGCACTCAGAAACGGGAGGCCAAGACTTGTAGCTGCAGTGGCACAATGAGGAACTCAAATAATTCAATGAGTGAAAGTTCCCACATAGAAATTGGACACAAAGTATTGGGAAAGTAGAGTTGTTTAGTGCCGGAAGGCCAAATCACTGAACTTGAGACAGTGGTTTGAGTCCCACCAAAAAATTGTGGTGACCCACACATCGTCTCACATTTAGAGTTTCCGTTTTCGGTTTGCAAATTACATCTCATTAATGAAGCACAGGCTCTTGACTTTTTCAACTAAACTAATCCTTCCGGATTCATTTTCTAAATATTTCGGCAAAAAAAATTTTAATGACACCACAAAATCATATTCGGCCAAGACATGATTATTGCTTATAAAATCACAACTGAATTAGAAAATTTTCACATCATTTTGCATTTTTCCGTTCGTTTCTACATAAAAGAATTTTTTTGAGAAATATTTTCATTTTTCAAGTAAAATGTATTTTTATTTTTTATTGTTTTGGTATTTGACAAAGTTTCAAAGTTGGGATTGATACCGAATCCATCGAGCGCGGGGCATGTAAACTAATTTGTTTAAAATTAATTGATAAGTTATTTTTATTAAGTTTTAATATTTTTTTTCTTCTTAAATATTTTAAAACAACCAAATAACAAAAAATAAAAAATATATTTTTTTAAAAATATATATTCTACATCTAAACAAAAAATAGATAGTTTAATTAAATTCAAGGTATTTTTCATTCTATATAAGGAAAATAACATATGTAACCATGTAATAACTAAAGACAAACAAAAAAACAAATTAATTATTATATTGCCACTAGTAGCCCAAAGCACCTACTCTTCTTTCTCTATGTTATGGGAAATGAAAACTGAACTCTCTCTCTCTCTCTCCTTCAAGAAGGTTGGAATGCTTAATAATTTTATTTTATTTTTTTAAATATTATGGGTCCAAAAAAAGAGAAAATGTACGAATTTTTTAAAACTTTGGCTCCATAAAATGAGTATTTTTGTAAGAATTTTAAAAGAATTCAGTGAAAGCATTTATACGATTAATTAAAATTCTATATACATAATAGAAATAGCAAGAAAGTCCAATGAGGGCAGCTGCCCCCACTGGACCCTAAAATTGAAAGGGATGCATACCGATGAAATCGATAATCAGCCGTCCGTCTGAGTATCTTCCGGCTGGCATGTGAAAGGAGGTTTCTCCATAAGGTGGGTTGGTCCAATTGAAGGCTGCAGGCAATCCACCGGTGTCCGAATTCGAGTCGCCGAAGTTAAAAATGGCCGGAAAATCACAACTTTGCAGAGCAGAAACAGGGTTCAGTACCGTGTCACAGCACAGAACAAACATGCAAAAACAATAGAGAGAAAAGACAGGCATGGCCATTGTTGGACACTCCAATGTTGTGCTGGGAAGCTAGAGATGAAAGGTTTGGTTTGTGTGTGGTGTGTGTGGAAAGTAGACTTTTCAATCACGTGGTTTATCCAATCATGGGCTTATTTCAAGCCCAAACTCAATCAGATGTGATGTTATCAAAAGTTATTGATTGGTGGAGTGGTCAATCTATCAAGTTCGAGTAGTGTGGGATTCAAATTTATCCATTAAAAGTTTTTTATGTGAACTGACAGATATAAAATGGCTCAAATAAATTAGAGTTACTGTACCTTAATGTTACGTTGGCAAGTATCAAATAATCGGGTTGAATTTGAAAGTGAAAGATCTAAACTTTCTTCAGTTCCAAATTGAAAGCACCGACAAATATAATTAGCTGAATGCAGATTACAGATAAAACCCTTCCATAAACTGGGTGTTTAAAGCAACAGACAATAGTATCATATAAATTGAACAAGATGCAAATTATATCTCAAATGATACAACTACTAATCTGGTGCTAGGTTTGGGAAAACCGAATCGGCAGCAATTCCAAATCCAAAGCGCCGATTCGGTGCTCCCAAACCCAACATGAGAATCTTTCAGACCTTGGTAGATACTTGGTAGATATTTAGTAATGTAGTTTAAAATGCAAGAGTAAAGCGAAGTTAATGTTTTATCACATAGTATATATACACACACATACAGGGAGAGAGAGCTGCAAATACCTTTAAAACAACACCCTGCAACTCCTTTATTCACATTCTATGAACAATGATAATTATACTCCTTTCAAAATTCACCAAACGTTCAGAACTCAGTTCTGAAAAGTGTTTTATGTACAACTTCCCCTGACACACACACAGCAGAAAAAAAGGATTTGGAACATCTACACACATAGTACCCTATGTAAATACTTTCTTTCCTGTTCTTATTTTATGAACAGGTCAGAAGGCTTGAAACATTTATATATAAATAGCTTCAAACAAATATTTAGTTTGGTTCTTATGATCACAAACTGTGGGTTCAGGCAAAGCATTCTTCTCCAGACACATATACAGAAAAGAATCTTGTGACATGTGCATCAGACAACGAGCGAAATACCAGATTCTTCAGAAGAGGAAGGCTGCAAGGCACAAATTCTAACATTGTACTTTCTACAGGTGGGAATCTCACTGCCTGATGCTGAATCTGATCCATCAGATACAAGTGGGTAAGACGAAGCAATATCATCACAAGCAGATCCAATATGGTTGCCACACTTCCGGCACAAAAGTTTGGTTTTCTGGCGGAAAAAACCCCAGGAGTGCTTGGAGATGAAGAAGGGCACGCATCTGACGTCTTCAACCTGAGTAAATCTGCTCTCATCGATGTAGAAGAATGATATTATCCCTTTCTTCATGGATTTACCATATTTGGAACCAATGACAGAGGTATTCCGACCGGAGGAGCTCAGGTTTAGCTCGTAACCACAAGAACCGCAGCTGCACGAAAGAGAAACTAATTTGAGATTGCAAACAACAAAGAAGCCACTTTAAGGATCTAATGAGAATGATTAAAATCAAAGATAAACAGCCATATTTTCGATAAGAACAGACATTCCATATCTACGTGCAGCACAGTCATTTTGTTTTTGTTTTTTTGTGTTTTTGTTTTAATTCATTTGATATGATTATATTCTTAGAGCATTTAGGGTGAGTGTTTCTGTCATTAAGAGGGAAATGCTTGAACAATGGCGAATTCATACAAAAAAACCTATTATGTATAGAGGTGATAGGGTACTTCTGAATTAAATGGAGTAATGAAATTCACTTTGTTCTCGAATAAATAAGGCTCCAAAAAGTTTATTTTTCTGCGTAAGCGAGGACCCGATAGACTGTGTCACTCTCTAGCATTGCATTGTCCAAAATTCACATCCTTCTCAAAACTTGTTCAATATTAATTTAAAATAGACTTTAGTATTTCCAAAATGACAACAAATTTGTATCTTTCTTTTCAATTATATCTTCAATGTAAATGTTTTAGGCACTAGAACCACCTTGGTCCACATGTGCAATTCAATGCTTTGGGTATAGCCAAGTAGTGAGCAAAGCCGGGCAGCAAATGCAAATCCAAATCCAAGGAGTAGAACAAGGACATTGACAAGCATTAGAATAATTTAGAAGAATATATACAAGTAAAAACCTTACTATAGCTCTGATCTAGAACACGATCAGAGTCGGACATCACACCGACATAAAACCATTCCACACTGTCAAGCATAACATTAGGGGCACAATATGCAAATATGGCCCTGATCACAAATATATAATGGACATTGAATCAATTTTTAATGTTAAAGATGTCCTTCAATTTAAATTAGAATTTAATCTCTCAAAAAGAAAGTAAAGAAGAATCACTAGGTCAGGCTCAATCTGTTTGTAAGAGTGTAAAATGGATTGAAAGTCAAAGGGCTATACCCCATAAGCTCAACCTCCACCTCTACCCCCAATCAACACCCCAATCAACATAAAGGAGGTTCTCCATCTCGAGCATCATAAAGACTCATATGCTGTGATGAAATTTTTTTTTAAAAAAAAAAAGAAAAAATAAAGAAAGAAAGAATCGATAGTTCACAACACACGAGTGAACTTGCTGAATCACTACACTCTAACATGTATGTGCGCAACAATCAAGTAAGCACAAAGATAGTGCGTGTGGAAAAAAGTTCGTGGCCCAAACCGAATGTGTGAAAAGTGTTAGAGATCAGGCAAGAGAAATCGAGATATTCAACTGACCAGAACAAAGGAATGCTACTCCACCCTATCTTTAGGAAGCAGTTCTCATCCATTCCTTCCCCCTCCCTCTCCTCTTAAGTCGCATGGGTCATTATTAATTTCACCAGAAAAAAATGCTGTGTATCCTGAGCTCGCTCCTATGCAACACCTATCTAACATTTTGAATTTCTTTAGTATCCAAATTGACTTGCTGAAGCAAAGCCCTTGTTTATTAGTACAAAGGCGCTGTAGTTTAATATTGGTTGCTTTGCATTCCTTCCATGTCAACATGTAAGTCGCACTCACCATCCCAAAAATCACCCACTTCTACATTAACTCGGCCTCAATCGAGAAAAAATAAATAAATAAATAAAATAAAAATAAAAAATTAAAGAAGATTCACTAAATCAGGCTCAATCTGTTTGTAATTTATGAATCGTCTTCAGTATTGTGAAAGTTAAATTTTTTACATATATATGTATGTGTGTGTGTGTGTGTGCGTATATATATATAAGTAATAAAAATTGTATTGTGTGAATGTTCCATCACACCACTCTGGTTTTTGTGAATTGGTTGAATCTTCAATGGCTTAAAAAACAATTCTCTCGTTATATTTGAAACCTGAGAATTGCACAATCTCTAACAATTTGATAATAAAGGTAACTGGGAGGAAATCAATTTATCCTATCTTCCCAACAGAGAAACTAAATTGAGATATAAAAAATCAGACTTTTTCAATTGAACCCACCAACATATACAATTGTGAACCTAGAAATAGGTATGCACATCAATATCATCAAAATTCAAAACCTATATTCGCTATTTATCATCCAGAAAACATCAATCATATCAAGAGAGAGAAATTGTAGAAAGAGAAAGACAGAGAGAGGGGGAGAACCTGTAAGTGACATCTCTCTGGGAAGAAGCAAAGGAGAAGTTGTAATTTCCACTGAGGGACTTCGAAGTTTCCATCTCCCTTTCTCCTTCAACTATCCACAAACACCGCCCACGGTGGCGCTAAAGGCGGAAGGCGACGGCGGCGTGAAATAAAAGAAGACGACAGGTGAGTGAGTTGACGATGTGTGGGTTTAGCTAGCACGAATTGGATCGCAATTCAGTGACCGTTACCGCAAATTTAGAGAGAGAGAGAGAGGGATTGATTGTTCGGAGATCGCGAGGAAGGTGAAAGGTTGAAGGAGATATGGGAAGGGTGGGGCCGGTAAGCTACGATTGACTCGATGCTGTCTGTCCACTTTTTTTACTTTTATGGCGTGTTCCTAATTAAAACAGAATCGACTAACCCTATCGCCCGACTTAGGATCTCACTTGGTTTAGGGTTTTAAACGCGCTTTTAGTTGTTCGAGTTCGAGTTAGATTATCCTTCTAAATATACCCTTCTACATAAACTTTAGGGATTATTACATATAAATAAACTTAATGACCCATATTTACTCAGAGTTAAAGACAATAATTTTTCTAAAATGTGTTTGACCCAAAAGTTGAGGTGGCATATGAAAAAATACTGTTTCATATTTCTGTTGCCTAAAATACCCTTCTTCCTATTTTATGTGTTGCATAAAATTCCCTTTTGCGAAGGTACCACTTTTTTTCCAAAAGTAGTACCACTTTTTGGCGTCCAGGTACCATATTTTCTAAATACTCGTTTAGCTAGATTGGAGAATATTTTGTGTTATTCATGGCGTTAATGGAACTGTTTATGGATGTAATGTGCAACTTAATTAGCGATTTGGGGTTTAATACCATTTTCAATTGCAAAAATAAGTCCATTTTTTTGGTGTCGATGTACCATATTTTCTAAACACTCTAGCTAGCTTGGAGAATATATTTTGTGTTATTCATGGCCCTAATGGAGCTATTTATTGATCCACTGTACAACCTAATTAGCGGTGTAGGGTGTAATACCATTTTCAATTGCAAAAATAAGTCCCTTTTGCGAATGTACCACTTTTTTTCCAAAGGTACCACGTTTTTGGACTAAAGGTACCACTTTTTGGCTTCCAGGTACCATGTTTTCTAAACACTCGTTTAGCTAGATTGGAGAATATTTTGTGTTATTCATGGCATTAATGGAGCTGTTTATGGATGTAATGTGCAACCTCATTAGCGGTGTAGGGTTTAATACCATTTTCAATTGGAAAAATAAGTCCCTTTTTTGGTGTCGAGGTACCATGTTTTCTAAACATTCTAGCTAGCTTTGAGAATATTTTGTGTTATTCATAACCCTAATGGAGCTATTAATTGATCCACTGTGCAACCTAATTAACGGTGTAAGGTGTAATACCATACGTATCAACTTACCCCCTTCCTTTAAGTAACAGACGTTTAGTGCTGGTGTCAGGATGGATAAATGGGTATAATGTCAATTTTGCCCTTTACAATGGCTGAAATAACATTTTTAACTTTATTGACCATTGCAGAGTTACAAAATTACCCTTATTCATTCAACTACTTCAATTTTGGAATGAAATATTTTTGATACTACATTCATGTAATAGTCGAAGAAAATTCAGTGAGGCTCTAGTATAATAAGCTATACAATACTAATTCATAAAAACCCAATGCAAAGGAGAACTTCATTTCATTCCATCTAAGGTAGATGCCAGTATAATACGCCATACAATGGTTGCAAAAACATACCAACCTAATCCACAATAAAAAGTTGCAAAGCTATTCTCCTTTAAAAGTAGAAAAATAGCTCATACCAACAGATTGCAAAATAACAGCAAAAAAAAATGACACTGTTCAACATTACAAATGTCCCATATCCCACATCATTTCAAGTACTTTTTGGATTCTGAGATCCTCCTATCCCACTTCCTCTAGCTCCCAATTGGGTAAATATAGGTATGTATTTCCTTATTATGCGGTAAACCATTTTGTGGCCCTTTTCCTTTGTGTGGTCCTAGTGAGAGTCCTCATGTTTGTGTATTTGATGGACATGCATTCTCTGTGTCTCTATGTGTAGTTGGAACAAAAGAACCACTTTGTCTCTGTGATTGTCACATGCAATAAAAATTAAGGTATTAAGGCATTGTATAATAATAATAAGGAACAAAAGCAATAAAAAAATAGATAATTCGAAACTTTGAATAATAATAATTTTAAAAAGAATCATCAAAATTAAAAAAGAATTTATAATTCACCCAAAAAAGACAACACTATCATGGTTAACAGGAAAAAAAAAAAAAAAAAAAAAAAAAAAAAAAAAAAAAAAAAAAAATTGCCCAATTAATACAACTATGAAAGAATTCACAAATTTGTACCAGATAAATATATATTACGAGACAAAAGACAACTTCAAAAAATAATAATAAAAAAAATCACTGATTCCTACCAACAAATGGCCTTTGGAAAATTTTCACTAACCGTGCAGAATATATAACATGGAAAAGTGCAAATGAACATTGAGCTATAGTACTAACAACTAAGTTATACTAAGAAATTATTCTACAGCAAAAATTATATCAAAAGTCGAGGAAATTACATCTTATAAGCCTTGATGGATTAAGATGGAAATAGTGAGGTTCCTTGAGGTGAATGGTAACTTGTTGGCTAATTAAGTTGCAAATTGGATCAATAAATAGCTCCATTAGGGCCATGAATAACACAAAATATTCTCAAAGCTAGCTAGAGTGCTTAGAAAATATGGTACCTCGACGCCAAAAAAAGAGACTTATTTTTGCAATTAAAAATGGCATTAAACCCCATACCGCTAATTAGGTTGCACATCACATCCATAAACAGCTCCATTAACGCAATGAATAATACAAAATATTCTCTAATCTAGCTAAGCGAGTGTTTAGAAAACATGGTACCTGAACGCCAAAAAGTGGTACCTTCAATTCAAAAACGTGGTACCTTTGGGGAAAAAGTGGTACCTTCTCAAAAGGGACTTATTTTTGCAATTGAAAATGATATTACACCACACACCGCTAATTAAGTTGCACATTGAATCAATAAATAGCTCCATTAGGGCCATGAATAACACAAAATATTTTCCAAGCTAGCTAGAGTGTTTAGAAAACATGGTACTTCGACACTAAAAAAAGGGACTTATTTTTACAATTGAAAATGGTATTAAACCCCACACCGCTAATGAGGTTGCATATTACATCCATAAACAGCTCCATTAATGCCATGAATAACACAAAATATTCTCCAATCTAGCTAAACGAGTGTTTAAAAAACATGGTACCTGAACGTCAAAAAGTGGTACCTTTAGTCCAAAAACGTGGTACCTTTGGAAAAAAAAAGTGGTACCTTCGCAAAAGGGACTTATTTTTGCAATTGAAAATGGTATTATACCATACATCGCTAATTAGGTTGCACAGTGGATCAATAAATAGCTCCATTAGGGCCATGAATAACACAAAATATTCTCTAAGCTAGCTAGAGTATTTAGAAAACATGGTACCTCGACGCCAAAAAAATGGACTTATTTTTACAATTGAAAATGGTATTAAATCCCACACCGCTTATTAGGTTGCATATTACATCCATAAACAGCTCCATTAACGCCATGAATAACACAAAATATTCTCCAATTTAGCTTAACGAGTGTTTAAAAAACATGGTACCTGAACGCCAAAAAGTGGTACCTTTAGTCCAAAAATGTGGTACCTTTGGAAAAAAAATGGTACCTTCGCAAAAGGGCATTTTAGGCAATACATAAAATAGGAAGAATGGTATTTTAGGCAACAGAAATATGAAACAATACTTTTTCATTTGCCACCTCAGCTTTTAGGTCAAACACATTTTAGAGAAATTATTGACTTTGACTCAATGTATGGGTAAATATGGGCCACTAAGTTCATTTATATGTAATAATCCCTAAACTTTAATTGTTTTTACAACTTTAGACAAAGATGGTAAACAAAGAATAGGGTAAAGTGCAAAAAAAAAACCCTTCAATTATTGGCCATGTGCAATTAATCCTCTGAACTACAATTTGCCCCCTTAAACTATTGAATTAGGTGCAATTAACCCCTAATGTGAATTCTGGCCAGAAATAATAAAAGACAATTTTACCCCTTACATAAAACTACGTCGTTTCAGTAAAAGACAGAGCATTCTTGTTGCCGCTGCCGTCGCTCCATTAAACCCGAGCTCCGAGAAGCTCACAGTCGAACCACCATGGACGTTGTCGGCGAGGGCAGAATCGTGGCGGAGAGCTCGAGAATGTAGCGTCTCATCGATGGCAGTTATGGAGTTGGTCATAGTTGTTCCGGCTGTCGGAACGGAACGACGAGCACTTCATTATCCTCCGCCGATGTTCCCGCTACCATCGTCACCTTCACTGGAGTCTTCCCCTATTGTCACCGATCTCTGTTCAACACCGATCATTGGCTTCGTAATCTAGCTTTGCCATCGCCCCCCGATGTTCCTGTTACCATTGTCTCCTTCACTGGAGTTTTCCCCTATTGTCACCAATGCCGATCTCTGTTCAACGCCGATCATTGGCTTCGTAGTCATCGCCCGATCCCAAAATCAACGATGTGAATCTCCATCGCTCTGTAGGTGGCTTCGAAGATTGTTTGGTTTGCCGTCAAATGGGCGAATCTAGAGTACGGTGAACTGGAACGGGGAGGGCTCACCGGCGATGGCGGCTGTGACTTGGAGTGGTGCTGCCTCAATTAAATTTTGTTAGTTTTTTTTTTATCTTCTTTATCTGCTAATGGACTTCGATTTTCAGATTTTGCTTATGAAAGTCAAATCCAGGATGCTAACAAAAGGCCTATCCCTCTCTCCCTCCCTCCCTCTATACACACACACACACACACACACACACACGTATGTAAACGTATGTAGGTTACAGTTTCTTCCTTCAAAGTTTGGGGATAATTTTTGAGCTTCCTCATCATTCGTTTCTAATGTATATTGTCTGTGATTTTGTTTGATGACGGCCATGGTGGTTCGGCTGTGAGCTTCTCGCCGAGATCAACACAACGACCCACCTCAGTGCAGACAACCGAGCTTAGCTCGACGCGTTTCAGGAGGACGACGACAAAGGAGATCCATAATTTCATTCACGAAGGACCTGATTAGAATTGCTAGGCAAAGCCACCGTCGAAGGTGTAGTTGTGGGAACGGACCGGACAGTGGTGGTGATGGTATAATCTGTTTTATTGATGATGAACAGTGTGTATTTAGCATAAGGGCGTGTTTGGGTGTTTTAAGTAGTTTTGGGTATAAAAGTAAAGGGTTGTGTGGTCATTTAAAGAAATTTGGATTGTCACGTGACTATCATGTGCGCCTTCACGGTCAAATTCAACCGGCTTATCACCGGATGGGGTTAATTGCACCAAATTGATTAGTTCAGGGGGGTTATATGTCAAATTAGTAAATCAGTGGAGTTTTTTACAAAATGATCAATAGTTAAAGGGAGTTTTTTGCATTTTACCCTAAAGAATATTAAAAGAATAGTATATTGGATTTTGAATTACAACTACTATTTTGGGACAACTAAAAATAAAAAGTAGATACTTTTAATGAGACGAAGAATGTATATTTATAGAGTGGAGATAAAAGTCCAAACTTTACAGTAGTCACTTGTACCAATGTATTAGTATTTACCTAATAAAATAAAAAGTAAAATTTAACGATTCAAACCTAAGTGACACAGAACGGGTGTGAATGCGAAAGCAAAAAAACAAAAACGATAAAATCTAAATCATATGACTCATATACACACCTAAAAATGCCATTAGTTATATTTAGATTCAAATTGCTAAGATGACATATCAAGACTGCACATCCAAGGGCGGACCATCAAGAGGACCAAAGGGGCCCATGGCCCTCCTAAATGTTTTCAAAATCGTTTAGTTATGGGGCCTTTCTTTGCCCCCCGCAACCCAACTCCATAGAGTATTTTAATGGCCTCCAATCCCAAACCCGTAAAATATTTCAACTCAAGCCCTCAAATCCAGTTGAAACAAGCCCAAATCATAATAGAAAAATACAGCCCAATTTAAAATATTAATACACCACATTTTTTAATATGTACATTTATCAAGAAATTCAATAATTCTCAAAATTGATACACCATATATGTTAATACTCCGAACAAAAGTGTCTTGTCCGCCCACGTGCATATCTTGAATGAAGCCCAACAAATTCAATACCCAATATTCGAAGACAAACACGTGTAGCATTTGCTAATAGCAAAAAAGCACAAATTAAATTCTTTCATAGTTGAAGCCAAATGTTGCTGCGGCATTCAACCTCTTCTAAGGAGATGAGTTGAAGAGGATAACTTATACCATTTAAGCTAACATATGCTGTATGTTAAAATAGTATTATAGTCACAGAAAATAAAATGAAAAATCAAGGAAGCAAGTCATATTAATGTGTGTGTGTGTGTGTGTGTGTTTTGGGGGGGGGGGGGGGGGGGGGGGGGGTGAAAGGGACAAGGGAGGAGGAAGAATTATGGCCAACAATGGGTTTCTCCATTAGAAATTTCTGAAGGATAATTTCGTCATATTCAATAATGTCTCATCATTCATGAGCGGGAATAAGATAAGCCTAATTTTGAATAGAAAGAAAAAAAGGTAAAAAATAAAATGAAAGGCTGAAAAGTAAGTGGGTACTCTGAAAAAGGGTCTCTCATTCTTCACTTCCAAAAAACTTCACATTCATTATTTATCTTAATTTTACTGACATTCTACAGATCTTCCCAGAGGGGTTGTTTTACAATTCTTATTTTAACTAGTTTTTTGTATTCTACAATCTGAAATCTGAACCCAACCCATCTTTTTTTTTGTTTTGATATTGATGTGTAAGATCCTATGCTTTCACATTTATTTCTTGTTCCCACTTCCCATCTGATCTCTGGGTTTGTTTCTGGTGTCCAGTCAAAGGTATATTGAATATTGATTTGGGTTTTTCTCTCTCTCACAATAGATTGAAAATTTAGGAAAGGTATGATTTTTATTTTTATTCTATTTTTATTTATTTATTTTTGTGTGGTAATGTAGCTTTGATGTGTAGCTCATTTTTGGATCTTCTATATGGGACATTCATGAATCTTTACTTGGATGTCTCATATTTTCTTGTTGACCACTGTTCTATTGATTTTTAATATATATATATATATATTGGTATTGTTGGGGTTTGAAAAAAGTTTTGATTGATTTTTCCCATTTGGTGATTCAAGTAATGGGTCTTTGCTAACTAGAACAAAATGGGGCATTCTGATATCATTCACGTTATTGTTTTCGGTGGGCAATTCCTTTATATTCTATTGAGTTTTCCCTTTCTTTTTTTAATTTCTGATTTTTTAAAAAAAATATTTTTTTCTATTGATTTTAAAATAAAAAATAAAATTGTTGTTGGGATTGGATGGTTACTGGGGTGGATTTGAAGCAAAGCTGACAGAATGATAAGCCACGTCATGTTTTTTGTTAAATGGCTACGATTGTTGAGGACGATATGTGTTTCTTTCTTCTTTGTAGGGTTTAAATTTTTGCCTGTTGCTCTGTTATCCAACAAATTTATATTATGTTTTCTTGTTTGAATTTTCTTCTGAGTTTAGGTTGGCTTTATGGTTGATTTTTGAGTGAAATTTTGAAGAAGGGTTTCAATACATGTGCAGATAGACACTCAGCAATAAGGTGCTAGTGGAAGTTGGTTTTTGGCCATTGAGATGGAAAAAAGGAAATGGTTGTGGAAGAGGAAGTCTTCCGAGAAGAGCCCTGGTGAAACCGAAAGTTCAGAATCGTTCTCTTCGCAATCTGAAAGGAACTCTGATGATCAGGTTTGTGAATGACACACTCTTACAGTTTTATTTATTGATTATCCTATTCATCCTTTAAAGTTCCTGACATGTGCAAACCTGTTAATTTGGTGCTACAAGTACAACGTTAATATTTTCAAACAATGGTCTCAAATGCCTATTTGAGTGTTCATTATAATATCTATTTATTACTTCAATCAATTGAACTCTTATAAAGGTTTTTGATTTTCAAACCTATTATGAAACAAAAATCTGGTGAAAGTTCTTGCTATTTTGATAATTGTAAGCAATTCCGAAGCTGTTCTTGTGGAAATCTTTGTTTTCCAAATGCATCATGTAATTTTTTTTTTTGAAATATATTTGGTACATTAATCTAAATCAGGTTTTACATAAATGTTGGCATGAAGAACTAAATCCACCCTCAAAAACAACTATACATGGCTCAACAATCGGATAATTCATATCTCAAATAAGTAAGCAAGGTGGACAAGTTGGTCAGAGTCTTCTGTTTGAGTCTATAATTATGTCTAGGTACGATATGTTGTTGATTGAAGTATGTTAACAATAGAGAAAAATTTATAATAATCTTTCAAGTTATTTTTAACCTCTCTAACTCCTTTTCCTTCTTTCTCATAGGAGTACATGTTAAGAGTGAAGAATAGACCCATTTATGTAGTTATAGAATTCTTAATTTGGAAATCTCATCACCACCACAATCTCAGGCATATGCAGTTCGGAAATTTTTCCTTTTTGTCTAAGGGCTTAATCCTTGATTATATTTAATATCAACTTCCTGATTAGTTTTTGAATCATTCCATTTATATACCTAGGTCAAGTGTTGGCCAAGCGACCTAATCCGTATGGCAGGTAGTTGGGCTGCTTATGTTTTCCTAAGTTGTGTGATAAAGAAATTTGAACAATCATGTTGATGTAGTTTAGAGCTTGGACTTCAATATTAATGCCGATCATGAACCATCTGATGAAAATGAACACCCATTAAGCTAACTGGACTTTTCTTCACTGAATATGCCAAGTTTCAATGCTTCTTTACTATGTCCTTACTCATAATTACCTTTTTCTTCTGGTGTATAGCTGTGAGCTGTTATTCAGCATTTATTACAGTTGGTGAATTTCTGGTTTAGAAGTTATGTTAGAACAGTTGCATGTTTACACCCAAAAGGGAGGGAAAAGTCCCTTCATGTCATTGAGGTTGTATGAGAAGCTAAGATCAAGTTTGAATTATCTTGAAAAATAGTTGCCCTTTAATTTTTCTATGCAATTTCTTTTTGATTTGGTAATATTCTCCTCGTTTATATAAGATATGATCATGCATGCAATTTGGTTTCATTATATTGGTATTTAAGTGTTTTAGAATTGATTTGCATAGAGTTTTTATTCCATTTTTGCTTAATTATCTGAATCTGAAAACCCTGGAAACAATGACGTGTTATGTTCATTTTAATTTAGTGTACAATTCAATATTTTTACATATTAAGGCTGCAATGTTAGTTGTGTTCTAGCAATTCTCCAAGGACATACCCAAAAAAAAAAAGAAAAAGGAAATTCAGGTTCAGGTTTGAATGTGATTCTTTGAGGACATTTTAGGTGTGTCTTATTATTTATTTTTATTTGGTGGGCACAAAGAAATTGTTTCCTTAGATTTTCAAATGAAATCTTAGCAAAATATTAGCCCCCTAAGAATAAAACACTAGATAGCTGGGATCCTCATGTCCACCATGAGTTATGGTGGAAAACAGATGTGCTGCTAATATTTGAGCCTTTACAGTTTTGGTTTAACAAATTTCTTTTTTGTCGGCCAAAAGTTTCATTTTTGGGTGGGTTATATAGATTTCCTGAGGGAGTGATGCTCAGCTCTCTTCTATTGTAATGAGTTATGGTGGAAAACAGATGTGCTGCTAATATTTGAGCCTTTACAGTTTTGGTTTAACAAATTTCTTTTTTGTCGGCCAAAAGTTTCATTTTTGGGTGGGTTATATAGATTTCCTGAGGGAGTGATGCTCAGCTCTCTTCTATTGTAGTTTCAAAACTTTTTGGTCCATGCGAGTTCAGTCCACTTTATCTTTTTTCCCTTCTTTTTCGTGAAGCAGGAGGTGATGAAGACATCTCCAAATCATAACACTCAATCACCAGAAGTGACATCCAAAGCTGCAGTCACCGGTGAAGATGTTAATGATAGCGTTAAGAGTCTGACAGAGAAGTTATCGGCTGCTCTTGTGAATGTTAGTGCCAAAGATGAGTTGGTTCAGCAGCATGCCAAAGTTGCTGAAGAAGCTGTTGCAGGTATTAGTCATCTTGAGGTACAACTGCTCTGTGTTCTTTCCCCTACCTTAGAATAGTCAAAAAGCCAACTTAGGACTCCACATTTCCAAACCTTGGTACTTAGTCTTTCTACCAATATGCATCGGGTAATTTGTCAGGAATACAGTTCTGTGATTATGTTAACTGGAAGAATTGCTACACAATGTAAGTGTTAGTTTGAAAGGGGCTGAGTTGTTTTTTCTAATGATTCAAGACAGGACTATTATGGAAACATTTGTCACATGTATTAGTTTAAATAGGTCTATTCCTTTTTTGGCTCATATTTGGTTTCTTTTTTATTTTCCTTTAAATTTTAGGATGGGAAAAGGCTGAAAATGAAATGGCATTTTTAAAGCAACAACTTGAGGCAGAAGAACAGAAGAACTTAGCACTGGAAGACCGAGTGGGCCATCTTGATGGAGCTCTCAAGGAATGTGTCAGGCAGCTAAGGCAAGCAAAAGAGGAGCAAGAGCAAAGGATTAATGAAGCTGTGGCGGAGAAAACTCGTGAATGGGAATCCACCAAATTAGAGCTCGAGAGCCAGCTCATTGAGTTCCAAACTCGAGCAGAATCTTCAGGATCTCTTGATCTTGATCTTCCCCACAAACTTGAATCATTAGAAAAAGATAACTCGGCCCTTAAACTTGAGCTCCTTTCTCGATCTGAGGAGTTGGAACTTACCAACATCGAAAGGGACTTGAGCATCCAAGCAGCGGAAACAGCAAGCAAGCAGCATTTAGAGAGCATAAAAAAGGTGGCCAAGCTTGAGGCTGAGTGCCAAAGGCTGCAAGCAATGGCTCGCAAGTCTTTCACAGCAAATAATCATAAATCCATTGCTGCTTCCTCAATCTATGTTGAATCGCTCACAGCTAGTCAATCAAACAATGGCGAACGGCTAAATGCAGTAGAGAGAGATGCTCGGAAAATAAATTGTAGAATAGAACCAAATGAGAGTGAAGAAAGCTGCTCCGATTCATGGGCATCAGCTCTAATTGCCGAGCTTGATCAATTCAAGAACGGAATAGTCAAAAACAAAAATCTTGCAGCCTGCTCTGTTGATATTGATATCATGGATGATTTTCTGGAAATGGAGCGACTTGCTGCTTTGCCTGACATTGGGAGTAAAAGTCGTCGCTTTCAATCAGAAGCTGTTGCCAATCAATCTGCTAATGAAGAAAACCCATTGAGATCTGAGCTGGATGCCATGAATGGTCGGATGGCAGAATTGGAGGGGAAATTAGAGAAGATAGAAGCAGAAAAAGCTGAGCTGCAGAATGCTTTAACCGCAAGCCAAGATTCTCTCAAGGCATCACAGTTTCTGCTGACACAGGCTGAAATGAGATTGGAGGAGCTGCAAAGGGAGCTAAGTGTGGTGAATGAATCAAAGGAGTTGCTTGAGTTTCAACTCATTGGTATGGAAGTGGAAACACGGACCTTATCTGCAAAGGTTGAATCACTAAAAGTGGAGGTTGAGAAGGAGCGGAGTTTGTCAGCAGAAATGGCAGTCAAGTGTCGGGGATTGGAGGATGAGCTGATGAGAAAATCCCAGAAAATTGAGCTTCAGCAAGCTGCAAATTCAAATGGCGAATTGAAAATGAAGCAGGTCAGTTATCTCTTGTATTTTTCATCATCTCCATGGTAATTCATGTAGACAAAAAAAAGAAAAGAAAAAGGCCACAACATATTTCTATTGTGAAATGGTAATAAACCTTGCCTATTACAGGAAGAAGACCTAGCTGTAGCAGCTGGAAAACTTGCAGAGTGCCAGAAAACGATAGCATCTCTCGGAAGGCAGCTCAAATCTCTAGCAACACTGGAAGACTTCCTCATTGACACTGAGAACTTGCCAGGGCTCTCTGGAGGAGGATCATTGATTCCTAAAGATGGTGGAGAACTGTGGAAGTTGCATTCTAACAACACATTTACATCCAAGAGTGATTTAGACCCCCCAAAAGTGCTCAAGGAGAATGCTGGTCCTTTAGTGAATGGTAACAACGAGGAATCGCCAGCTTCATCATCATCAACTTCATCTTCCGCGTCATCAAATCATGTCAGCTCTGCCAAGAGTCGAAATGGCTTTGTAAAGTTGTTCTCGCGAAGTAAGAGTGGTATTCAACTGGAAAACCAGCAAGGATGAACAATAGAGGGTATGGATAAACAATCAAAAAAAATTGTAGTTGTAGGCCATGGGATTTTATTGTTTTCTCATTGTGACTGCTGATTAAATTCTGTTTAATTGGCAATTAATGTACTTGGATGTGGTTTGTAAATTTTGAAATCTCAAAGAGGGTTTTAGACTGCTAGTGCTTTGGTTATGCTTCTTTGAATTGTGACCTCAAAATGCTTTGATTTTGCTTATATGAAATTACAGTGGTAAGAATAGCACAACTTGTGTAAACATTCATTCCATTACTTGAAAAGGGAACTTAAAACTCATGTTTATACAAACAGAGAAATCTCATTTGTTACATGATAAATTTCAGAGAGCAGGATTCATGGCCGTGTACAGTATCATCAACTGTAACTAAAGTTCATAATGAAGCTAAGTGTTCGATCTTTTGTGGAATTCCATGAGCCAACTGTTGTAAGCACAGCATATGACTTCACAGCCAGAAAATCCAGATTTTACTGCCAAGGTCTCATATTCCTTTCTTGTCCGCTCTTTTCCACCAGGGTTTTGAGCTAGCATGAACAAATCTTGTTCAAAGACAATGTGTGAGGAAACACTATTCTCAGGAACCTCAGGGAGAATTGATTCTACAATAATGACCTTTCCGTTGTTGGGAAGAGCTTCACAGCAGTTCTTGAGAAGTTTCAAGCAATGCTCATCACTCCAATCGTGGAGTATCCACTGTAAATTTCATAGACAAATAACAGAACAACTATCAAAAGAGAACAATATAAGAGTAATAAAATTGAAGTTTTTAAGTAACATGTTCTTTTGTTGAATGTTCTTCTCCTCTAAACATAGTATCAATTAGAACAATGAGGTTATAGCTTTAAACCATTCAGTTTTGCATCCCAAAAATAAATCACCAGCTCCTAAACGGTGTGAGGGAGCATGCTTCTTCTAGATTCACGGTTCCGAGGGTTCATGTCCACAGTTATTAACTAATCAAGAGCCTAGACAAAATCTTTGTTAAATCGGCTGTTGAAATATGTATAATAAAAGTAGTATCTTCTTATATCCTCTTCATTTGAAATAAAGCATGTGATTCATTTTTCTAAAAAGAACTTATAGGAGTTTAAGAAACATTAATGAAATAAAATCATTTTCAAATTGCAATAGAACTATCCCAATTGTAATATCTCGTCTCATTTCGTGTTATTTAATTAATCTGATTACCCCTACAATGAAATAAAACTTTAGGTAGATATTTAGTTTCTGGTTTCAACAATCTTTCCGTTAATTATTGTTTCAAAGGATAAAGGCTCAACTTGTATTTTCTAATGGAATTCTCACAATGAAAGGTTTGCTTATGTTTTCAAGCATCCATTACTAACAGACATAGCAGTAACTAGTTAGAAGTCGAATTCCTCACCTTCATGAAAATGGCATCTCCTTTAGGAACACGAACAAACATATCTCCCCCAACATGCTCCACTCCTACATCATGGTTGAAATTGTGTAAGTAATAATTTTGACTTACATCATTCTCATGCTTGTGTTGAAAGCAATAAAAAATTATCAAAATTAGTTCAAAGTAAGAAAGACAATGGTTACTTGCCAATAACAATTCGTTCAAAAATACATGATTGGAGGAACTCACACCATGATGTTATAGCCTAATACTTAGTAATTGATTACTAGACATAAAAAAAAGTACTCAAAATTGTCCAGGAAAAAAAAAGAGAGAGACGGAGAGACAGAATCTTCAAGTGATACCTGAATAAGATGGGGCATCTGCTAAAACATGAGGCAAATCATAGTTGATGCCTTTAATATGAGGATACTTGGAAGTGATGGCGTCGAGAGTCACTCCAATGCCACCACCCACATCAACCAACACATTAAGGACTTCAAATCCTTTGTAGATGTCGAGTATCTTCTTTATGATCAAGGTGGTGTGATTCGACATGGCCTGGTTGAATACCATGTTGAACCTTTGATCCGTTCCTGGGTATTCAAATGCTGTCATTCCATAAGCACGGTTAAATGGGATTCCTCCTTCTAGTATAACATCATTCAAGTGGAACCTGTGAACATTGACATTTGAATGAGCCTAAAATAACATATAATCAAATGAGAACAGGGTAGCTTTCAGTGGCTTCTTTGTGAACGCTGAAAATTACTACATTTTCCTTTCTCTCTACAAGTAATGGCAAAGAAAGGTATATAACCTACACCTATGACTCTTCAAAAGTTGGTAAAGTACAACATACGATACTCGGACACGAGTATGGGATATTTGTCTAACGCTTTTGGTTGAACACACACCTAAAAGGCATATACAATAATTCAATTTTGTTACATCATTGATTCAAAACAAGTGAAAATTCTATATTGAACACTATGCTATATAAAGACATTATTTTACTCTAAAAATAAAAATATTAAATAATATGAATATTTAGTAGTGCAACTAGTGTTCATGTGGCCTTCTATTTGGCATATAACACGCCGGACGGCTAGATACACACCCACACCCGAAACACACGTACCCGAGTCCATGTAACATAGACCTCCACAACCAGGAAAGCCAATGTCCTACATTTGGAGGCAGATTACTCATACCATTTTCCCTTCTTTCCAAAAAACTTCCATCACTTTCTCCAAAACCTAGCAGAGTGAGTTACTGAATCACCCACAATAGCCTATTAAGCAACAACTATTCATGGTTTCTTTACATATAACTAGCCCTCAAAACATAACTCTGATGCGAATACTTTAACTGTGAATTAAATCACCACATCACCATTACGATGAATTTTGGCCTCTGATGGCATGATTTAATGTGAACTGCATTATAAATAAAAAAAAATAAAAAAAACACTTGTTTGTTTGGTTGCATTTGTTTGAAAACTGTTTTCTGAAGTTTAAAAAAATACTAATAAAAAAGACTTGTTTGTTTGATCAATTTATGCATTGAAAATAGTCTTTTATAATTCTCTAAAAACAGTTCTAAATCAAACAGGCCCTTAGCAATTTAAAATTCCCCAAATAAAGCATCACAAACATTTTCCTCTACATTTTCTAGGGAAAAAAGAGAGAGAAATTGTTACCAGCTCTCCATGAAGACCTTATCGTGATGCAAGAGAAACAAAGGAGCCACGGAGCCTCCATCTTGATTCTTAGTGAGGAACTTGCAGATGGGTCCCACGCCGTACAGTCTCTGCACTTCACCGTTCTCTCCGGTCCGGATAGAGCACTTGAGAATGTCGTAGCTTGCCAGAAGCCTCAGCATGCGGTCCAGCAGGATCGGCGCGTCGGGGTTGTGCGTGGGCAGGTGGGCCGCGATCTCGGACGGTGATAGGTACGCGCCGTCGCCGGCGGCGGAGAGGACGTCGATCAGGTTGAGCTCCACCGCCGACTTCAAGACCATCGGAAGAACCACGGCGTTGGCTAACCGGAGGGCGAGTTTGCCCACTTCTTCTTCTCCTTGGGAGTGTTCATTCTCTTGGTGGGACATGAGTTTTGATTCGGGTGTCATTGAAGTTGGGAGTGAAGTCTCTACAACTAGCACACAGCATATTCACGCACATATGCTTTATAAACACACTAAGAAAGTCCACGTGACTGGTCACGTATGGTCTTTGAAAGTCCACGTGACTCGCCACGTATGGTCTTTGAAGTCCATAACCCCGTCGAATGATTTTTTTTTTTTTTTGGATTAAATAAATAAAAATAATAAAAAGTTTAAGAAATAATACTAGTTGTTAATTAGATTTTGAGGTGGAGACTATTGTTTTGGATAATCAAAAATGAAAGGTGGACATATATGCTGGATGAGTGAAGTATTTGTGCTTCCTAGATTGACACGGTGTCTATCTCTCTAATTATCTTACTAATTATCGTCAGTCCTTAATTTTCTGTACATATATAGAAAAAGTAATGATAGGTCTTCCAATCTCAATTGTCGATTTCTCCTTCGAATATAACATGGTTGAGAATGAGTCAAAGAAAAAGAGTTGTTTACAATATGTTTTTTTTTTTAAATTATGACATGATCTAATCATATTGTATTCGGAAGAAGAGTCAATAATTTAACTCGAAAGACCTAAATGATTTTAATGTCGTTATTGTTAAGAATACTGTCTGCTGCCAAACATTCTAATGGTTGCATCATTTCACCAGCTACCACAGCCGAGAAAGCTGTTTGGTTGCGCGCGGGCAATTGCCATCTAACAGTTCAGACTTCAGAGTTATGCCCTTACCACACAAATATCTTATTGAAAGTCAATATAAAAAATCGTGTCAAAATTTTAAATTTTCATTAACATTTTTATTTTTATTTTTGCTTAAAAAACGTCCATACTTATTAATTCTTGTCATAATGTATTGCATACCTTTGAGGGGTTGATGTAACACGAGTTTTTAGACAAAATTAGAGTTGTTCTATTTGGCAGTTCGGCAAATGAGCAATTTAAAAAATATTTATTTGATAACTCAATTCAATATTTAATATTTAATATATATCGTACTTATTCAATTAAGTGTCTCTAATCTGTCACAAAGAAGAAAAAAAATTAAGTGCCTCTAATAATGCAATATGATTCTACTCAAAAGAATAGGTGTCATTGGTAAAATTGTAAGTTAAATAGATTTCACTTATCAATGAATACTTAAAACTCAAACAAGTTTTAAAAACATTCTCAATTTATAATTAATACTTAAAATTTCAGCACTTAAGATATGCTTGATCAGAACGATTCTCGATATTATATGCATATTATAAGTAAAATTTGAATATATCGACCAAGCATAGATAAATTTTCGATTGACTTGAAATTTTGTTAGCATCATGGACATGAAAGCACTTCTCATCCAACAATGAGTAATTTTTTCTAATTCCAATTTCAAAACACTAATTTCATACAACAGTGCCATTTATAAAATCAACATGATTTTCTCACACATAATAATTGAAATCCATCAGAGCATCCTAATAGGCTCCATTTTCCATAACATGGTTTTAGTATGAAAGAACTAAGCCCATGATGGTTTTTGTATGAAAGAATTGAGCCCAGAAATGGATGGCCCATATTTGGTTAATTGATCCAGAATCCATACTCTATAGAGCCCCCGCCACAATTGGACCCAATGGAGTTAACTCCACTGTGTGTGTGCGCGCGCGCGTGTTTTTCATACCCAAAAAAATTATATCGACCCATTCCATGAAAAAAAAAAAAAAAAAAAGGAAGAGCAAAATTGTAATTTGTAGTTACCCTTAACACCAATATGATGACATTTTTTATTTGCACATTTTTATTAATTGCACGAAATTTTTTTCATCCGAAGTTATATGCGTAATATTCACATTAACAAAACGGAAATGAAAAGATAGGTGAAAGCATTTTGTTCAATGTGAATAGAAAGGTGGACGAAAGTTACTTTTTTTTTCATTTTAACTTTGTTTGTTTTGACGTAAAATATCTTGTTCGGAAAATCTTTTTTTTCGGTTATAATATATATTTTTTTATTTTTACTTTTTGGTATTTGGCAAAGATTTAGGTTGAGGTTGAAATCGAGTCCATCAGATGGAGCTATAAAATAACTTGTCAAAAATTTATGAGTAAATTATTTTTGTTAAGTTTTAATTTTTTTTTTTTGTAAATATTTTACGAGCAACTAAATACCAAAAAATATATTTTAAAAAATAGTTTACATCCAAACAAATGAAGTATTTATTGTTTCACAAAAAATGTTTAATTCTTAAATGACGAAATAATTGTGCAATGTTAAATTGTGCACTCATTCCCTTTCACTTCGTGCTTAATTAAGTAATACAATACGAGAAGTCCATCCATCAAAATTTTCAGCATTTGAATGGAGAAGTTCAGAGTCCAAATGCATCCCTAAATTTATGGAGACGATTTAAATATATATATATATATATATATATATATATATATATATATATATATATATATATATATATTATTGTTGCTTCATCGTGATTGAAAAGAGTGAAATTTGAAAGAACATGGGCCCTATTTCCTAAATTTAAGTATCAAATATTAAATGTTAAAGGGTACATGAAACAAGACATATTTTCACAAACCATGTGACCACAATTTACTTATATGGCTCTCATTTGATAGCCAAAAGTGAATGTGGGTGAAAATTTGAAACCCTTGAAAAGATTGAAAGGGGAAGAAGGAATAGTGAAGACAACAGAGTTTTAACCACTAATTAGACCTAAACCTATCTACTACTATTTAATAGGAGAAGGAATAGTAGGGATTTGAATTTTGATGGGATTGGAAACCAACTCCTTTTGGTTGCCTCACAACACAATCAAGAAACCCTTGACCTTACGCACTTATCTTCGGGTCATGATGTTTGGTACATGAGACTGCAAGATATCCGTCAAATATATGTAATCACCAGCAAACCACGCATACGTGGATTTAGGTAGGCCATTAGTTTGTTACGTAGATTTCATACAATCCATGATATTCCTTTTTAATGCATAAAACTTGTTGTTGGGTTGATTTCAGTCCTTCTCGGTGCAACAGAGGATCTAAATTCTACTTTTCGACCTAAAAATTGATTTGTAGGATTTGCATGGTCATTACTTTAAAAAATCTTGTCTAGACCACTCATCGTTGGCTTAGAGCTTCTTTAATGAAAATTCGAAAAGATAATTTTTGAAACGCACTAGATATTGGGTTTTCAGCACATTTCATGTAGTTTTCACTACTAGGTCAACCATTTGAAAGGGAACCCACCCTACAAGCTTTCACCGCATCCACCCGAGCGAGAAATACTTTATGCTCCTAGTACATTGATAAGATGATATCACTAATTGATTATATATTGACACGCAGTGTTATGACTCACTAGAATAAATGCACTTTTACTTATATAATAAGATATAATTAGTTGATGATATTAGTAACATGATATCACCGATGCAAAGAGTCTTTCTGCTTCCAAATCTACTTATATCATGCATCTTTCCAAGAATATAAGTTGCTTTGACAAAATGGCTCCTTTTCCTACAAATTCAAAATGGGCATAGTGCCCATCATATTATGCATATTTTATACGGACTTAAATCCCGCTAAGACGTGTATCTTGCCCTACTAATCCAACAACACTCAAAAAGTCACGTCACTCCTTTATAAAAACCTAATTTTGTACTAAATTGTGAATTTCACCACCTTAATGTAAAATTGTAAAGTAAATCTAGCTAACACGAGTTTCTTGCTGTGCAAATCCGACGCCACACAAAAAGTCACGTCACTCACTTATCAAAACGTGATTTTGTACTAAATTATGAATTTCACCACTTTAATATGAAATAAAATAAATCCAACTAACACGAGTATTTTGGTGTGCAAATCCAACGTTACACAAAAAGTCACGTCACTCCCTTATCAAAATTGATTTTATACTAAACTATGAATTTCACCAATTTAACGTGAAGTTTTAAAGTAAATCCCGCTAACACGAGTATCTTGTTGTCAAATCCAACGCCGCATAAAAAAATCACACTTTAAAACATGATTTTATACTTAAAATATGAATTTCATCACTTTAATGTAAAATGTTAAAATATATCCGACTAACACAAGTATTTTACTATGCAAATCCAACGTCACATAAAAAGTCACCTCACCCCCTTATCAAAATAGATTTTTGTACTAAATTATAAATTTCACCACTTTTAACATAAAAATTTAACGTAAATCCCGCTAACACATCGAGCATCTTGTTGTCAAATCCAACACCGCATAAAAAAGCACACTTCAAAACGTGATTTGATACTTAAACTGTGAATTTCACCACTTTAATGTGAATTTGTTAAAGGAGATCCCGCTAACACGAGTATCTTACAGTGCAAATCCAAAAAGGCACAAAACGTCACTCTCTCTTTATCCAAACATGGTGTGTTACTAAACCGTGAATTTCACCACTTTAATGTGAAATTTTAAGGCAAATATAAAATTGCACTTGGGGAAATTTTGATTCCTTCCTTACACAATATATATATATATATATATATATATATAGAGAGAGAGAGAGAGAGAGAGAGAGATGATGCTGATGTACTCGTGGAGGGGGCATCTTCTGAGTTCCTTTCATACAAAAATAAAAAATGGGCACACATGGGCCATCACTTATTTTAGTAGACTTTTTCAATCACTTTTTTAAGGACAATTTAAAAAAAAAAAAAAAAAAAAAGTAAACTAAAACCCATCAGAAAAAAGAAAAAGATATATATATATGTGTGTGTGTGTGTGTGTGGGTGGGTGTGTGTGTGTCATTATACTGTTCTCATGTGTGAGTGTTATTTTCAAACACCAAATACACATATCATTGGTTAATTCATTTAGTGGTGTCTCACGACTTTAATCAATCCTATCAACTTGTAGGTGTTGTTCGGCTTTATTAAAGCACGTCAAAACACACCATCAATGGCTCTTTCTTGATAAATCCCTCGTACCACTCTTTTTACTATCCCCAAAAGAGGTGAATTTATATTACTTGAGTCCACATCTTTACTTGTCGTCCGAT